CCTTCTGTCAGTTGGCCCAACTAGCGAATCAAATTCGTTAGTTGGGCCGAGGTGGTGGCCCAACCAGTGAATTTCGACTGTATATACTCAACGATGATTAAAATTTAACCACTTTAATATACATCATTTCAGTGCTAACATTTGAAAACGGCACAAAAGCCATTTGTAAACAAATGGTTTGTAGGCTCTTTACTCACTACTTGAAGTACACCCACGCGACACAACAGCAACATCGGGTAGGGGAAATTTTCCCCTTCCTGACGATGCTATTGGTTTGCGTGGGCGTTCTTCGGGTAGCGAGTAAAGGGCCCACAAACCATTTGTTTACAAATGGCTTTTGCGCCGTTTTCAAATGTTAGCACTGATTTTCAAAATCTTTTTTCTTCTGCCGTATACACAGAAAAAAAAGTTGTTGAATATCACATCCAAACTGCTGCAACCAGGTCAATCCATCGGTTGTGTAATATAACGTTGTACGATGTATATCGATTTTGCGAACAAAATTACATCCATTGATGTAATATTGTATCTGCTTTTTGCTATGATATCATCATTTCATACATCAGCTTGAATTACATTGATCGATATTACATTTTTTTGCTGTATAGAATATTTCTATGCACCACCAATGTAGAGTGCGCTAGGCGATTATTAGAGGAAACGTCAACCAAACCGTTTGTTTACATCAAAATTACAATTTTTATATCTCAAATTAACGCATATTTGAACGGATTTACAGCTCAAATAATACCACATAAAAAATCCGGAACATCATAACCGCTGGGGTAGTTTTATAAATCTTCACTTTTCTAAACAAAAATATGTGAAAGCACCAGCCGAATCACTGCAAAATCGATACAGAAAACAAAATATTCCATTCGGATGATGATTAAAAGCACCTGCAATGGATAAAGTAATCAGAAAAAGTAAAAACATTTTCCTCTTCCTATGATTCACGCTGCTATAGAGCCTCAGCTGCTATCAGCTCAGGTACTATCTTCGGTCCCAAGCTAATCAATGCACCCCTCGAAACATAGGAAAATCCACGAACCCCTCATTTTATATCTGTCAAACTTTCATAGCGAATAAAAAAAAATGGTGTAGTACTAGAATTTCGACAAGAATGGGGTACGTTAATCGATTTGCTTGGGACCAAAAGGCTAGTCAAGTAGTGAGCCAATTTAAAATCGTTAGTTTCCACCGGTTGGTACTAAGCAGAACACTGAATTACACGGATAGAAATCTCCTTATACCTTTTGGCAAATTTCCATTGCTGATTATTCATAAAATGTATAAGTCAACTAATAAGCAGACGCCTTGCAAAAAGTTAATAAAGATCATGTGTCAAATGAAATGTTTAAGCGGTCACACATCCGATCGACCGGTTTTCGAGCCACGGTTGTCAAAATTTAACTTCTTGTCTGTCAGAAATAACCATGCTCGGATAGCTGGGTAAATCAATAACTTTTTATCTGTCAAATTTTAACCAAAAGTTGAAAAATTCGCCAAATGGTTCAGAGCCTTAAAGTAAAAATAAAGCGTGCTAGATGCTAAAGATAGTATATATTTTACAGGCATGACATTTTGGGAAGCATTTTTGTTATTGTATGTTTTCCAGGAGCTGATTATTATACTCCAAAAAAGGCGAAGTGGCATCAGAGCAAGAACTTTCAGATCGTATCACTTTGATTTTGACTGTGGTGTTAACGGGGTCTCGCACCTTCTGATTGTATTCGTAAATATCAGGTCATGTTTGCTCAAAAAAGATTTTGCAAACATTTTTGAAAATTCTCAGACAATTAGCAATTTTAACGCAGACCAAAAAAAAATCATCTGGCATCTCTGTCACTTCGTCAGCTGTCACCAGTGTTGCCAGATATACCGATTTATCGGTATTTATACCGATTTCCGATCTAGATACCGATATACAGATAAGGTTCCTCAGAATACCGATTTTTGAGATTTTATACCGATTTGTACCGATTTTTTTTAAATAACCAAAATTATTATTGCCTGCCCGCGCTCGAATTTTGGAGAAAATTTTTGTGAGAGACTTGTATCTTTTTGAATACCTCATGTTTTTTGAGCCTTCAAAATAAAAAAAAAAATCATCTCTAAAAATGCCTTATGATTGATACTCTTTTGAATAATGTTTGCAATTCCTCCTTTTGATTGGCTACCCATCAATCGAGAAATAGTCGATGGCTTTTTCCAGTATTTCCTAAGGAATCGAGAAACATTTTTCAATTGTTATTTAAATTCCGGACGTTTTATTCATTTTTTTTATCTTCCTGAAACTGCATCCAACTTTCCCTGGAATTTTCTTCCACCTTACCTTGGAAGCTTCTCCAGCCTTCGCTCGAATGATACTTTCATCTTCTCCCGCCAGTTTTTTTAACTTTCCCGGATTCAAGGAGGCTATCTGATTTTTATTGCGGATCCACACTAGCTGCAGGGACATTTAGAAGCTCTGAAGCTTCAGAAAAGTCCGGATTTTTGTGAAAGTTTCGATAAATTAAAGACAGTTTCATAAACTTATGTTACCTGGAAGTTTCAGAAAAGTCCAACGAACTCCAGTGAACTTAAGGAAACATCATAAATATTTTGGAAACTTCACAAGTGCAAATAACTTCAGAAACATTTAATGGTTTTCAGGAACTTTAGTGAAGCTCAGAGAACACCAGGGCAGGTCAATTAATTTCAATGAAATTGTTGAAATTATAAAGAAGTTCCAAGAAACTCAGGAAATTTCCGAAAACTTCAGCAATGTCCTGAGAGGCTCGTGCAAAATTTGGAAACGTAAGGGAAGTAACATGAACGTCCATTAATTATGTCACACTTTTAAGGGGGGGAAGGGGGTTTGGAAACTGTGACAACCCATACAACAATATAAGGTCCATACAAAAAATGTGACAAAGGGAGGAGGGGGTGGGTTTTCTTTTTTAATGGCAGTGTCGATAACTTTTAAACATTAAAAAAAAATCGGAAGGATCAGAGACTTTCAAAGCGGATGTAACAATAAATTTCATGACCAGAGGATGACCAGAGAACTCCAAAAACAGACCCAAATTTCAGGAAAATTACTAGAACTTTTAAGAAATTTCGAGGAAAAAGGAAATATTCCTTAGTGAATTTCAGGAATGTTCCGAAATCTTGAGGGAAATTGCGGAGTCTTCAGGGATGTTTTATGAATTATGTGCACTGGAGTCGCTTTTTACGCGGTTTTTTTACACGGTTTTTTTACGCGGTTTTTTTACGCGGATTTTGGAATTTACGCGTTTTTTTTACGCGGATTCCGGAATTTACGCGGTTTTTTTACGTGGGACGTATCACCCGCGTAAAAAGCGACTCCGGTGTACTTGTTTCTTTCGACTCTTCCGTAAGCGCCTTGGTTTCCGACTTTCTTCAGATGTTTCTTCCAATCTACCTTAAGAAGTTTCTGCCAGCGTCTCCAGGAAGTTTCTTTCGTCTTCTCCAGGAAGTTCAATTCATTCTCCCAGAAATTTCTTTTGTCTTCTTCTGGAAGTTTGACCATAAGCCAAGAAGATTTTTCCGAGCTTCTTCTGGCTTTCCCTGGAAATGGCTGTAGTAGATAGAGTTAGTGTTGAATAAATAATGCGTAGAATCGAGTGAGCGTAAAGCGTGATAGTCCTTATGTAAACGGAATCTCATTGGTTAGAGAATTTTGATAGGTTAGCAGGTATAAATATGAAGTACCTAAGCTCGTTACAAGAATGACTTCAACGAGCTTAGGTACTTCATATTTATACCTGCTAACCTATCAAAATTCTCTAACCAATGAGATTCCGTTTACATAAGGACTATCACGCTTCACGCTCACTCGATTCTACGCATTATTTATTCAACACTAACTCTATCTACTACAATGGCTACTTCTGGAAATTTACTTCCGGTTTCTGAAACTTTTCTGGCTTCCTGTGGATGTGACATGCGATTTTTTTCCGATAGTAAATAAACTAATAAACTAAAAAAAATTTCGCCACAAGTTTCTCAATTCGTGTCTTGGAAGTTTCCCAGCTTTTCTCGAACTTCATCCAGAAGAGCTTCTTTCGTCTTTCTCTGGTTGTTTTTCAGCTCCATTTAGAAGCTTATTCAAACATTCCCCGGAGTTTTCTTGCGGAATTTTTCGATCATAGTTCAAAAGTTAAAATTTTGCTTTCATTAACGGCTTTCTGTTTGTTAATTAACTGTAACGACCTTGATTAACGAAAACACTGCAACGACTACGATGTAATCTGCCCGACATTTCGGCCATGGGTTGTGGCCTTTTTCAAGGGAAAATATTGTTTGTCGTTATTGTCAATAGTTTAGTCGTTGTTGTGGCTGATTTTCCATATTTTTGTTCGTTTAATGATATTAAATTGAAAAATCTACTTCGTTACAATTTTGATCACCACTTGAGAACAACGATAATTTTAAAAATTAAATTAAAAAATTAAAGAGTTTTTTAATACTGAGAACGCCATCAAACAAAGCAATTCCCCTCAAATCCCAGTCGTCACCATTGTTAAAATTTTCACTTTAAAAAACGGCGAAAATATAAAATTAATTAAAATTGTGAATACCGATAAATACCGATTTTTTAAAACCTTTGATACCTATAATCTTTAAAACATTCTGGCAACGCTGGCTGTCACTTCGTTTGTATACATACATATTTTGTTTTGGTGACGCTCGTTATCGCAGCTTACAACCAAACCATTGATTGATAACACAATTGATAATTATTTTAGATGGGTCCACTAACCGTAAGTGATTTCAATTTATTTTGATTCGACTAGTTGCTAGCAGAACAATGTCGCGTTCATTATTTCACCCATCTTTTGTAATTTTCGGTAAGAATTAGTTTATAATAGGCACTGGGTTTCCTTGGTTTTTCATCATTGCTATGTGTTTCATCCATTTCGAATGAAATATCAATATTTTAATTAATTTTATTGATATTTTAATTTACAGTGAAAATGCATCTGAATCACAAGCATACATCAACATCTGCACCTTTTAACAAAGATCAAAGCTGATTGTCATTGCAAGTTTTACTAAAAAAAAAATCTTGTTATCAAGCTCATATTGCATCCTGTTCATGTTGCAGCATAGGGTAAGTGTGTTCATATATAGTGTCAGTTTATTTTTTTAATTTGATTTTACACGTGCAAACCTGTTTGGAACTATGTACAGCAGATAATTCAAATCAGCCAACGTTTACAAGTGACTTTTTCTGTTGTAATCTATTGAGCTAATCATAAATTATTTCTGAAATTCACATATTTGATAGTGGATTGAAAATTTTGAAACTACTATAATTCTATTCTATACTAAGTATCTCACTTTCTTGCAAAGGTTTCTCAAATAATTGGATAATATGCATGTAAATCGGTTAGTCCTACTATAGATCCAACACGCATTGCACATTGGTGTAATTGAGCATTAAATTTTTAACCATAGAATGATTGAATGACCGCCTGATTGTTTTCTTAATACTTAAATTGATTCAATTACACGCCATGACCATTTAAGCGACATCCATCCATTATCATCATCAGCTACCTTCAACCAGTGAAAAGAAAGACGGTGATAAGTATTCATTACCTTGAAACTTCTATTTACATTTACAGGTCTATTCGTGACAATGAATATGATTGATGCTGCTGATTTACATAACGCCAGTAATCTGACTGAAATTACTTGGGCCCATGCTGTCGATAGTCAAAAATTCCTATCAGATGTCCTACAAGGTTCGAAGCTTTAAGTTGATGTCGAATAAAAAAAATACTAATGATTCGATATTCTTTCACTTAAAAAGGCGATATTGATTTCATAGAGGCAGACATACTGCTTGGCTTTTTGGAAAATGATGCTAACAAAGAGAGCGAAATTCCCATCATGGCGCATCCTCCGGCAACAACATCAGATTTATCGTTGGAAGCGTTTTTGACACATATACAAGCTTATAACACCGCCGTTCAACCGTCCAAAGTAAAAGGAGTGAAACTAGATTTCAAATCAATCGGTGCACTGGAAAAATCAATCGGAATCATTGGAAAATCTTATGATATGCAAAAATTCCCAACATGGATCAACGCTGATATTCTACCAGGGCCGGTAAATAACACGGAAACTATTCCGGTGGATCCGAAGCGCTTTTTTGATGCTGTAAAACAACTTGGTCCTGCAGTTTTGTCTATTGGGTGGACTACTAAATGGAGTGAATCTTCTACAGATGGCCAATACACAAGAGCTCATGTTTCGCAGATGATAAATGTTATAAAGGACAACCGAATCGATGAGGCAGGAAATGTCATAACATTTCCAGTTCGTGCCGGAATAACTGCACACAGTTTGGAATCGTTGGTTTACTTGTACTGCTCGGTGAAGGAAACGAACCCTGTGACATTTACCATTTGGTCGAGTGCAAATGATGCTGTGAACGTGGAAAATCTGAGGAAATTCATATTCACCATAGGATTGGATAAAGTTTACGTTGACGTTCCAGATGAGCTGAATGAACAGTTGCGATTGAATGATAATCCCTTTGGAACTACAAAAACCGACATTCGTTGTAACGATTCATAAATGAAACATTGGTAATGTAACCATAATCAGCTGAAATAAAACTGTTTTAATTGCATGGAATGGAAACTACTAAGAATGAATGACTCCACTTTTAGACTCCTGTGAAAACTGTAATTGCACATGCCTATTAAAAGTTGACTTATTATAAAGCAGTAGCTAGCAGCTTAAGAACAGTATTTGCAAGCTACTACACTTGCTGTTTAATTAGATAACAGCATTCGCTAATTGAAATTAAAGATATCGAAGCGTTATCTCAGAGTTTTTGTCAAAATTTCCCAAGTATAGTCTTGGGATTCTCCCTTGTATTTTAATTTAATTTTTCCCTCTAAAGTTTTAAAAATACGCCCCCGAAAACACTTGAAATTCACGCATTACAATTCTTAATAATTCTCGCAAGATCATGCTTAAGTTTCTTTTGCTATTATTTGCTTTAATATTTGCTAGGAATTCTCACTCGCGCTCCTTTCGTGTGGCAATTGGGCTCCGGGGGCTGATAGAATCAAGTTCAACTTGTTGAAGAACCTCCCAGACGTCGCTAAGAGGCGCATGTTGAACTTGTTTGATCAGTTCCTGGAGCTTAATATTGTTCCGGATGATTGGAGGCGGGTGAGAGTTATAGCTATTAAAAAGCCTGGAAAACCCGCGTCAGATCACAACTCGTATCGTCCCATTGCGATGTTATCGTGTATTCGAAAATTGTTGGAGAAAATGATCCTTTATCGCCTGGACAAATGGGTTGAGACGAACTCTCAGATACTCAATTTGGTTTCCGTAGGGGCAAGGGAACGAACGACTGTCTCGCGTTGCTTTCCACTGAAATTCAGTTGGCTTTTGCTAAAAAAAGAGCAAATGGCTTCTGTCTTCTTGGATATTAAGGGGGCTTTTGATTCAGTATCGGTTGAAGTCCTTTCAGACAAACTCCACGCTTGTGGCCTTTCCCCATTAATTAATAACTTTTTGTACAATTTGCTGTCAGAGAAACATATGAGCTTTTCTCATGGAAACTCTACAGCTTCACGATTTAGATACATGGGTCTCCCCCAGGACTCATTATTATTATTATTATTATCTCTATTTAGTAGATTTTCAGCCGCAGGCTGGTTCATCTCCGGGAGCCCCAGAAGGGGGCTTCCCTAATTACATAGTTGAGATTTTGGAGAACCCAGAAGGGGTTCTCCTAGAGGTTGGTGGAGCTCCAGAAGGGAGTCCCCTTAGTACAGAGTGTTTTTAAACAGAGTTCATTATAGTTCCTGTCTTGGTTCTTAGCGTGGTTGGCGGATCATGGTGTGAATGGCGGTGGTCGTTGTCGAAGGCAGTCAGGTAATCGTCATGTGATATCCAGGCTTACTCCAGTGGTGTCCATGTTCGAAGTGTAGTCATTTTGTATATATTGATTATATTTTATCGAACAGTCCAGCATCTTTTAGGAAAACTATTAGGGCTGCTTCCGTGAACGGGTCGTTAGAGAGGGCGTTACGTATGCTGTTCGGTATTCCATAGAGGAGCCGGATGTTATGGAAGCAGGGACAGTTAACAATCAGGTGTTCGACTGTCATAATCGTGTTGCAGGAGTCGCAAAACTTCCGAAAAGAGGCAGCACTACCCATGTTGTGGGTCACTCGGGTGTGTCCGGATCGAAGCCGGGATAAGACCTGTTGTTCCCATCGGCTCGTAATGTCATTCCATTTGGAGGTGTCGCCCTTTATTTTTCTCAGGAACGGTCCCCTTTTTGCGAACCACTCCCGGGCCCAGGCGTCTCGGAGGGATGCTTTCACCCATTTTTTTACGTCCTGACTGGGTACAACTGTGGTGGCCATCCGGCCGGAGCGACCTGTGGCAGCGAGATGATCTGCTTCACAGTTGTCCCGGACACCGCAATGGCCGGGTACCCAAACAAATGAGGTGTTCGGCGGCGCGGCCTTTTGGATCCCTTGTATCCAGGGGTGTCTGGATGTTGCTGAATTCAAGGCGTATAAAACGCTGGCGGAGTCTGTTAGGACACATATGGGTTTATTGGCGGGTGTCGTGGTGGCGAAGTGGATGGCCGCAGCCTCCGCCGAGAAGACGGAGCACTGATCGGGTAGTCGAAAGAAGTAGCTATTGGATACATCCGCTACTCCGAATCCAACCTTCCCCACGGCCTTAGAGCCGTCCGTGTAACGGTGTTGAAAATTTGCGTATTTAGTTCTCAGCAGCTCCGCTACGTGGGCCTGCATGGCACGGGAGTTGTTACCTGCCTTGAAGCGCTTGGCAATTGAAAGGTCAACGCGTATGGTTAGTTCTGTCCATTCTCTGGCTCCGTTCCAGTGTACCCTGGACACGGGTGGGAGCTCCTGATGGACCAAGTTTCCGAGAGCTCTGTTCCCCTCCCTGAGGAGAAAGACCTCGTTATTCCCGGCGGTCTTTTCCAGGTAGCTGATCGTTCTGCAGCTCAGCGTTTCGGCGACTTGATATTGAAACGGTAGTACACCGAGTTCGACGCATGCCGATTCAGCCGGTGTTGAAGGCAGAAGTCCTGCGACGATTCTGATTGCCTGGTTATACGTTGGGGCTAGTCGTGTGGTAAGAGAGTCGTTGGAAAGGCAGAACAGTTCGATCCCGTAGAATAATCTACTGTTTACAGTGGCCAAAGCCACTTTTAGTAGAATCTCTCTGTTACTGCTCTGGTGTGGTTTGGAAAGTGTCCGGAGGAGGTTTAGCCGCGTGCGGCAGTTGGCTTTGATTTCGTTGAAATGTGCGTCGAACCTCAGCTCCCGGTCCAAGCGTACACCGAGAACCTGGATGGTCTTCTTGTTGGGTATTGGAATATTGTTCGCAACGATGGCTGTTGGTAGCGGGCGATGACGGAATTGGCATAGGTGGGAAACCACGCTCTTTTCTGCGGATAATTCAAAGCCGACCCTATTGGCCCATCTTTTGGTGGCTGATACAGCAGCTTGTAATTTCCTTCGCAGAGCCTTGAGGGTGCGTCCTAAAGCCAGCAGGACGATGTCGTCTGCATATACAAATATGTATATTCCTTTTGGTAGGATCCCAAAGACTCCATTCATGGCGACCAAGAAGATGGTGACCGCTATGACGGATCCCTGTGGGACTCCAGTTTCTTCCGCCCGAGTTGAGGAGCGGTGGTTCCCGATCATCACCTGAAAGCTTCTACCGTAAAGGAAATTTTTAAAAAAGTGTAGAATGTGGCCACCTATAGACCCCAGTCAGCCAACTGTTTGATGACTTGGGGGGTCCAGGCGCGGTTATACGCCTTAGCTAAATCCAGGGCCGCTATGTCGACATGGAGTTCTTCATCCATCGCCTCTTGGAGTACATCGCCCAGGCCAGTAAAGTACGTTCCGGTGCCGTGACCGGATCTGAACGCATGCTGTCTGTCGGTGATCGAGATGGTCGTTGTCCTCGAGAAAGCGAATTAGACGGCGATTGACCATCCGTTCCATGACTTTACTAATGCAGCAAGTCAGAGAGATCGGACGGAAGTTTTCCGGAGTAGAGGCCACTTGCCCCTGCTTTGGGATGGGGACTACCAGACTGTGGGACCATTCATTTGGCAGGGTGTTCTCTATCCAGATTTTATTTATTAGGTCTAGCAGTTCGACTTTGGTGCTGGACGGGAGATGTTGCAGCATGGGGTATCCTATATCATCCGGACCGGCGGATTTCCCTTTGCTGCGGGATAGTGCAAGGGTTAGTTCATCGAATCGAAAGGGCGCGTTGATGGGCGTAGGTACAGAGTCCTCCGGAATGACAATGTTGCCAAGGCTCTGTGTGGATGCGTGGTTTTTTTTGTATGAAGTTCCTGTCATAGCGGTCAATGGCAGAGAGTGAGGCGAAATAGTCAGCCAATTCGTTGGCGATGGTGAGCGGGTCTCGTGTGAGGCCGCTTTGGAGGCGGAGGGCCATCCCCCTGGCCTTTCTTTTTCCGTTGAGGGCATTGACCCGGCTCCACAACTCGGACGCCGTTTGGTTGGAGTTGATCCCCTCCAAAAATTCCTCCCAGCTACTTTTCTTGGCATCCCTGATGATTTGCCGGCACTCGTTTCGCTTGGAGCGGTAAAGCTCGGTGGCTCGTTCCTTGTCTGGGTGGTCCCCCCAGGACTCATGTTTAAGCCACCTTCTGTATAATTTCTACGTCAGTGAAATTGACAATTGCCTAAGTGACAACTGCACGTTGAGACAACTTGCAGATGACGGAATAGTGTCTATGACAGGGCCCAGAGAGGCCGACCTGCAAGGACCCTTACCAGCTAGGTATCGAATTCTCCACGGAGAAAACTGAGTTGGTCGTTTTTTCTAGGAAGCATAGCCCAGCACAACCGAAGCTTCAACTTTTGGGTAAGCCGATCACTCATTCCATGTCTTTCAAATATCTTGGGGTCTGGTTCGATTCAAAATGCACCTGGAGATCCCACATTGAGTATCTGAAGCGGATAGGCCAACAAAGGATCAATTTTCTCCGAACAATTACAGGAAAGTGGTGGGGAGCCCATCCGCAAGATCTTCTAACGTTGTACCGGACAACGATTTCATCGGTTTTAGAATACGGTAGTTTTTGCTTCCAGTCGGCGGCTAAAACGCACATCATCAAACTGGAACGGATCCAGTATCGTTGTCTACGTATCGCGTTAGGATGCATGCACTCGACTCATACGATGAGTCTCGAAGTGTTAGCGGGCATGTTGCCTCTCTCTGATCAGTATTCGGAATTATCCCGCAGGCTCCTCACCCGTTGTGAAGTTATGAACCCACTGGTAATCGAAAACTTTGAGAAGCTTCTTGAGCTCAACCCTCAAACTCGTTTTATGACATTGTACACAGGATGTCGTCAGCCCTTCACAGCATAATCCTCATCGTGTATGCTTCTGCGACTTCGGCAATTCAGTCAGTTTTGATTTATCTATGACGCAAGAGATTCGCGGAATCCCAGAACATCATCGTTCCATGATTGTTCCGTCATTATACACTGCAAAGTTTGGCCAAGTTGATTCCGCAAGATCGTTCTTCACAGATGGATCACTAATAGAG